CAAAAGCTAGCAGAAGATGCTTCATGGGATGTACTTGATGTCGAACTTATCCAATTAACCCTTTTTCAAAAGCTAGCAGAAGATGCTTCATGGGATGTACTCGATGTCGAACTTATCCAATTAACCCTTTTTGAAAATCTAGCAGAAGATGATTCATGGGATGTACTCGATGTTGCACTTATCCAACTAACCCTTTTTCAAAATCTAGCAGAAGATGCTTCATGAGATGTACTCGATGTCGAACTTATCCAATTAACCCTTTTTGAAAATCTAGCAGAAGATGCTTCATGGGATGTACTCGATGTCGAACTTATCCAACTAACCCTTTTTCAAAATACTAGCAGAAGATGCTTCATGAGATGTACTCGATGTCGAACTTATCCAACTAACCCTTTTTGGAAATTTCTGTTTTTCTCACGTCCTACTTATTGCTACACAAAGAAATGAAATCTGAAAAAACTTTGTAAAAACGGAATATAGGACGTTATCGCATTCTGAAAAACTGTTCTTGAGGTGTTTTATAAGCCTTATACTATTTATGAATTAGTTTTTCTACTATATTTATCCCATTGTTTTTAAAATGTACCTTTCACACCCGATGTGTTATTTGTCGATCATTGTAACCAGTATCTATTCCTGGTGTCCTGACAATCTTGAAACGTTATTGATTTTTTTACCTTTCTATTGAATATAACTATATTATTCACCTTGCAGTATCTAAGTAACAGTTGTGGTATATATGGTTTAAATCATTGCTGTAAAGCAAGTTTCAACTACAACCAACCCACATAATTCAGGTTTATAGACAAGTCAGATAACGAGTCACCCAGGTAATGCAGCTTTATAAACAAGTCATTTAGCTTAACGTATCATCAACATAATGCAACTTGTGGACAAGTCAGATAGCTAAACGAGTCACCCAGATAAATCAGCTTTATCCACACCCTAGATAATTTATCGTAACGTTTCGCCCAAATAATGCAGCTTTATCTACACCCTAGATAATTTATCGTAACGTTTCGCCCAAATAATGCAGCTTTATCTACACCCTAGATAATTTATCGTAACGTTTCGACCAAATAATGCAGCTTTATCTACACCCTAGATAATTTATCGTAACGTTTCGACCAAATAATTCAAAGATATCTGTAACCTGGAAACAACTTTGTATGCAACTTTGAATGCAACTTTGAATTTCTTTTAGTCACAGATAAACAGCTGAAAATTATAATTCCAGGATAAGATGAAAAAGATTCTACTGATCAGCTCCTGTTCTGGAATGTGTTACACCTACAGGTGTTGAATATATATATAAATGGATAAAATTACCGAATACAGTCATGCAAACAAAATACAGATAACTGTTGAATATGGTCAAGAAAATATTTTATAGATGAATATTAGCCTGAAGATATTCTGTACAAAGTATTCAAGATTATCGTGCCAAAAAAGGTGTTGAATATAGCCATGAAATGAATACTTTACAAACAAATATGCTTGTACAATTGCCTATTATCTGGGTGTAGGTCTGATATTGTGTTTTAATAAAACTGATAGTAATTTGAACAACATCCATTTTCATTGGTCCAGAACAAAGTTCCTGTGATCAGTGTTTCAACAGTTTTTCAGTTGTAATTCCTCCACTGTGTGTCGCTGCCGTAGAGAGTTTTCTGTAACACTAGAATTCATCGCTAAGCTACGTCACATATTCTCTTTTCAATTTAACCTCTGGTGAAAAAAGAAAAAAAGATATTTGACATATATATATATATATTAGTCCTTGATGAGACAACTCATTTCATATTACACAACTCTTGATGGACTCTGGTATTAAACGAAAGGCCTCTTCGGCACCGGCGTATAATCATTGCCAGTATTATTGTGATGCCATGTAACATTTATTTGTTATATAACTTTGTTAAACTAACTCAATTTTCTGTACACTGCTGCCCGCAACGCGCTGTTTTACAGATGTTTTGTATAGTTCAGCTTGAAAATGTATATCGTTTTGTAAATCAGTTGTCCAGTTATTTTGATTTTTTCTTCAAAATAAGACACAAAATAAACGGACATTTTGTGCAAATAAAGAAGTCATTTTTCTTATTATTAAACGAGTGTTTCTTAACTAATGAAAGCCATCTTACGGCTATTTCTGTGTTGGTTGTTATCAGTGTAGCCTCTCTCTGAAGTTTCACAGGCATTATTCTTGGCTAGCTTTTATTTAATTCACAGTGTAATTTATGTTTTGTGTGAAATGTTTTACGTTATAAAACTTTATATTTTAATTATTTCTAATGGGTCTTTTTTTCCTACCCGTGACACATCGGTTAAACGACCAAATCAAAAATATTTAAGGTTCAGGCTTAACCGTACCTAATTAGGAAATGTTGACTGGAAGGAATGCAATTGGTCAACAGCACCAGCCTCGTATGCGACAACTGTGTAACCGAATAGCGAGACTGGCTTCACAATTATAGCATCCTTATACAGCCGAAAATACAGTGTGTGTGTGTGTGTGTGTGTGTGTGTGTGTGTGTGTTAAGCAACTCGAGCCTTGTACCTTCCGATGCGCAGCCCTACACGTTAACTAATAGCTCTTGCCCAACCCAGTGTATTTCTATATATCGAACGTTCAATGTTGTTTGATTGAATCCTAGAGATCCATGGCGGATAACTTGTGTATCATGAATGTCAGTAAATTATTTCGTTTCATAAGCCTAATTTATGTGTGGACATGAGGAAGTTATTTCCATGCTTATTATGCGTGGATAGGGTTGGAGAGTTCACTTAATATTATGAGGGGACGGGGTTGGAGAGTTCACTTAATATTATGAGGGGACGGGGTTGGAGAGTTCACTTAATAT